ATTACAGGATAACTTTTGCTGGAATTGGGCATCCATGCAAAGACATTTCAAAAGTTGTCAATGTCGGACAAATCAATCCAATCTACACGCTTCGCACATATTCACCAGTAACTGTCTGTGTTGTTGCAGTCATATCTAGACTGGGGCGGAGAAGACCATTTGGACGTTTCAAAGCAAGACTGTGGAAAAAAGGGGACTTGACAGCGCAAACGGCAAACACTTCCACAACATAGGTTGGTTTATGATGTGGAACACGTTGAGACACGTTGTTTGTTAGTTTGTTTGCGGTTTTGTGGGAACGGCTATTTTGCACAGAGTTTCCCAACCCCTGACAACACGACTGGACTAATCAGGTAGCCCGTTGCCCATGACCCCTTCGCATAAGCCAAGCGTATGTGAGCATCTTCGGATTCTTCATCTTTGCCGGCAGAGGAGCGAAGACAGCAAGGGAATTAAATAAATGTAGAGGAAATGGAAAACTCCATGGGGGCTCTCCAGGACTCCAGGACTCAAAGTCTTAGGGTATAGATGATGACGATGATGATGATGATCCTGTTTTTGAAAAGTAAAGAGAACTCTCTAAGAGTCTAAGGGTATATACAGTACCGAGTATATACTTAATTGTTTGAACGTTTGTTGAGAGCTCTTCGGAGGGGACTTGACTCTGTTGTTTGTTGTCTGCATTCGATTTGGGACACCAATCACACCACTTGTGTTCAGAACTAACTGCGACGTAGGTCCGTAGGTGTAATTTTATTTGCTCGGGTTGAGCCATGTGTTGGTGTTGGCAATGAAACTATGGTGCCCAGCACCAACACCCCAAGCAGCTGCAGGATACTATGGATCATTTGCCACTATGTTTTGGAAGACGTGGACGTGGGGTGTGTCCGAACATGATTCATGTGGCGTGGCAGTGGGTGATGGCTTCTGCGTGGCACACTCACATAGAATGTGAAACAGTCAAATTCAACGCTCAACCAGCATATATGTGTGTGTGTTTTTTGTGCTTGCTGGAGAAAGCACATGAAACACTTGTAGTTCAATGAATGGGCAATGGAAGTAGTGTTTGTTTTGTGGAAACAACTGTCTCTTGTGTTTCAGTGCTGGTGGAGGTTGTTGCGTTAATGTTTGTAGCTGTTGCAGCGGTGAATTCAACCAACATACCCGTAGCCTGATGTTCGATCACAACTGGGAGCAGGATTTCAATTCAAGATCGTGCTGCTGGCGAGCCACAAGAACAGGTGGCCTTTTGTTGACATCGCCGCAAAATTGTACAATACTGCATGGTTTGAACAACATCATCAAGGGAAAGAAGTGCTGTTGAAATGGCAGAGCGCCAAAGCATTGTTAGCAAGCACTTGCAAATCACAAGAGCCCCTATTCATATTGTTCTCGGTTTGTAGCAATCTTTGCATATACCAAGAGCAATGGCTTAGCATTCTGTGTTCAGCAGTGCAATACCCCTAGGCAGTCTGAGTGCATACAACTCAACGGGTCTAGACCTAGAATCCTAGGGTAGGTGGCCCAGATTCTGGGTCTGGACCCAGAATCATAGGGCAGGTGGCCCAGAATTCTGGGTCTGGACCCAGAATCCAGGGTAGATTGCTCAGATCCTGGGCCCGGACCCAGAATCCTAGCATAGATGGTCCGGATTCTGGGTCTGGACCCAGAATCCTAGGGTAGGTAGCCCAAAGTCTGGGTCTGGACCCAGAACCCTAGGTCTGGACCCAGAATCCTAGGGTAGATTGCTCAGTAGGTTGCTCAGAGCCTGGGTCTGGACCCAGAATCCTAGGGTAGATGGTCCAGATTCTGGGTCTGGACCCAGAATCCTGGGGGTAGATGGTCCATATTCTGGGTCCCCAGAATCCTAGGGTAGGTAGCCCAGAGTCTGGGTATGGACCCAGAATCCTAGGGTAGGTAGTCCATATTCTGGGTCTGGACCCAGAATCCAGGGTAGATTGATCCTGGGCCTGGACCCAGAATCCTAGGGTAGATGGCCAAGATTCTGGGTCTGGACCCAGAATCCTAGGGTAGGTAGCGCAGATTCTGGGTCTGGACCCAGAATCCTAGGGTAGGTAGCCGAGATTCTGGGTGTGGACCCAGAATCCCAGGGTAGATTGCTCAGATCCTGGGTCTGGACCCAGAATCCTAAAGTAGATAGCCCAGATTCTGGGTCTGGGCCCATAATCCTAGGGGGGCAGGGTTACCGAGGAATTGGTTAAACCACATCAGTCTTTTGGGCTGACACACAGGCCACGTCACCCCAAAACACGGCATCCAACACCATGCTGGCTCAGTGCACTGGCAGCCAACATCAGTGGTGACATTCAATTAAACATGTTTCATTTAATTACTAATTACCCGAGCATGTTCCAATTTCCAGCACACCACAATACATAGACATATAACACCGATTATATTTTTGCCAACAAACATGTGGCCCACTACTTATTTTGCAACTGGTGTTTGTGTCTCAGTGGCATGGCGAACCTTCAAAGAGGATTGATGGTTCAAGAGAAGTGGGCATCTCTCTTCATCGAAGGGAAGAAAACGATGGAGATCAGGAACTTCCAGTGCAGGGTTGTTAAGCCGAATCAGGATGTCTTCCTGATTGCTTGCGGACAAGGTGGGGGGATTAGATATAACGTGTGATAGCGGTACGGGCAATGTTCAGAACCCCTTTGCCTTTGCCTTTACACCCAACATATGTTTACTTATGAAGTTAGCTAGGTTGATTCCCATGGCAGGAAAAGCATCAAATGGAAAGGCATGCTTGAAGATCGTGGGTAAACTACGATTTGAAGGCAATCAAAGGATCAAAGATGAAGATTTCGATACTTTCTATCATGAGCATTGCGTGCGAAGAGAGGACTTCGACAAATTTAAGTCATCCTGGACTGCTTACAAAGGAGAAGTCGTGGCTTGGAAGTTTGCTTTGCTGGAAGCATTCGACGTCCCATGGTGGATACCACACAACCAGGACAGACCATTTAGTGCATTCAATTCAAGAAAACATTATTCACTAGTGGTGAACTGGTCCATTTGGTGTCGTGTCACCGTGTCAAGCCAATGACACATGACACACACACAATTCAGACTGGTAGCTGACTACATAAGCTTTTGTTGCCACTACTTCTCTCTCTCTCTCTCTCTCCTGACAGGAGCAGGGAGCCTGGGTCAACTTTGATCCTACAAAGGCAGTGGCGGCAAGAGACAAGAATGCATATAATGAAGAGCTAGTGCGTCTGTCATCACCACGGGTCAATCAAGCTGCAAGTTCCCCTGGATCATTGACACCTGGACGTGAAGCTGCCATACTGGCTGCTTTGGATGAAGAGCTCACGAAGACTTCAAACACAAAGAAGTCTGATGCCTCAAAGCAAACAATGGCTGCTGTGAAGTCAAGGCCTGCGCCTAAGATCAAACACAGGGGCACATTTCCTGCACCTGAAGGGCCAATGGATTCTGACCCAGAGAATGTGAGGTTGTTTGTTGGCAAATGGATGACTGATACTGCAAGGCATGATGAAACGAGAGAGAACCACAACACAGGCAGCAGCAGTTGTGGCAACAGCCGCAACAGCAAAGATCTGCAAGAGACAAAGGATGAACCTGATCCCGTTCATTGCGATGTTGATGCCTCCTTGTCGGGCCATCCGGTCGCAACCATGGAGGCTGTGGAACAGCAACAGCCTCAGCCTCAGCCTGAGCCTTCTTCCCAGCAAACCCCAATTGATGCACGGCAGGAGACATTGAATGCCTCACATGCTCCTACGCTTGTGGACAGTACAAGCCAGCAGCCTCAGCAGCAGCATCAGCCTGAGCCAACACAGCCGCAGCCTGACACAACGCAAATGGATACACTGGTTGATAGATTTGACCTTGACACTGCTACCCACACACCGTGTCAGCCTCAGTCTGACACGCAGCAAGAGGCAAGCAATCACATGGACACTGCTACACTTGATCAAACATCCGCAAACATACCTGTGACACACCAGCAACAGCAACAGCCTGAGCGCAATCTGAAGCAGGCTGACCAGGGTTCGCAGGTTGATCAGTCTGACAAACCTCTGGAGCAGCAAGAGCAACAGCAAGTGGGTCAGTTGGGGTCACTACCATCTGACAAGCAGCAGGAGACGCGCGATAGCACCTGTCTTCCTACAATCAGTCCAGGCAACACAGATGTACCTATGGAGCCTGTGGAACCACAGCAACATTCTCAATTTCAAGAACAACAGCAACAGGGGGCTGATATTGCCAGCTCGGTTGGTGCTGCAGATTATCTCGGGACAGCCCCCAATGATGCAGGCATGCCATCAATACCTTTGGAGACTTCAGTCAGCTCTGTCGAACAGGTGTTGTCAGTGGAGCCTGAAGACGTTCCCAAACCCCGCAACAGGGACATAGTCAAATCTCTATCAGAGTCTATGCAGTTTTGGGAGGATTGCCTCTTCAAGATGAATCAAGCGGAGATTGAGAATTTGGTAGATGCTTTCGGACAAGACTCAATGAGCACTGCTTTTTCAGGAGGGGCGGGCAGGGGACAGGGACACGGTGAAAAATATGGCATAGACATACGTTGGTCTTCATAGTCTTCACTCTCCAACACCTATGAACAGCCAACAGCACACTGCTATGAAACTTTTGAATGTTTGCCATGTTGTTTGCCTGCTTTCATCAGGAGTTGAAGCTCCTACTGCGGCTATGAACTGCTTGAGGTTTGAGTTGGCAAGGTGGGTGCAAAATGAGACACATGATGCACATGATCAGGGCTCTATTACCGTTCCTCCTGTTCGCCTTCTCTCTGCATGCGAGTGGTTGAAGGAATCTCAGCTGGAAATCCTTGCCATGAAGCCGGAAATCATGTCTGGTTTGCCTGGACCTCCTTCAGATGAGCATGGTTGCCTTTTTTCAGACATCAATGCAACTCATGCTGTCTCATGACACGTTTTCTGTGTTTATGTTTGTTTATATGTCAAGACACATGACTTCTCTTTATGTTGAATAGCTCAGCCCAGGCATTTTGGAAGCCGGAGATTCAGGCGTTGCTTCCTCAACTATTCAAGCGTCCTGGTCTTGCGACGAATGTCCTGGGACCTGCTGTCAAAGAGAATCAGGCCGTACGTCTGGATGCTGACTGCTTGCGCCATCATCGGAAGTGCAGGTTGCAAACTGCTCGCCGCCACCTAGCTGGGACGATATGTGTCGCGTACAGCAAACGAGGAGCTGGTCTTGCTACAGATGATCCCACGATAATTCCAACAATGGCATGGCTGGCGCTACGGCGTCTTTGCCAAGAGCCATCAGTGATTCAAGAAAACGTCCGTGGATGCCCTCCCACACTCTTCCAGGAGTTTCTGGGAGATCTCTATTATCTACAGGAACCTAGCATGTGCATAACAATTGTGTTTGTGTTCCTTCTTTGTTGCTTTTGTACATTAAACTGTTGACTAGTCAAAGCTTGCAATGATCAGATCCAAATTGAAAGTAAGGTGATCGAAGCTGACGCTGTGGAGTATGGGAGCAGTTGTGCCAGAACCAGACAGTTCATTGTCATGAAGCACAGAAAAAAGGTGTTGGCAGAGATGTCACCACTTGCAAGATTCCTTCGGCGTTTCCACAGGGCAGTGAATTACACATGGAGGGAACATTTTTTTGTTGACCTGATGAACGACACAGACGACATTCTCAGGAGTGAGGCTGAGGCAGAACTTCGTTGGGCAATCAACAGGCCTACATCGAAGGCACACAACCGTCGTGAGGAGCCCTTGGATTTATCAGATCCCGCCATCTTCTTCAGTGCTCTGACTGAGACTGAATCCATGTACTTGGAGTCATACAACAGCCAATTCCCTGGGCAGTGCTGGTCGCTCAATCAGGACCCTGATTCCGGTCACGGATCTACCAGCACTGAGTGGTCTTTGCAAACCGTGATCAGCAACTGCCACTTGATGTGGTACCATGAGATGCCACAGCCACGATGGATGTTCGCGAGAGAAGTTCTGAGCTGTTTAGGCTAGGTGTGAGAATACATATCTTTGTGCTTGTTGTTTTTTAATGCATTGTTTTTTCAAGAGTTTCCATTCGCCGACTGGATGATGGCTTTCAACAAACACCTTTCTTGTTTTTGCCAACCACCCTTTGCCGTCCAGCCATTTCACCAACCACAGAATTCTTTGGTCACTGACAGGCTACCCGGTTGTGCCTGGAGTCTTCAACTACAAGAGTGGCAGCTCGACTCCGTTTGCAAGGCTTTGTTCTTTCAATTGGGACCGCGACCCACCTCGATCTGCCAGAACTATGTGTGAGCAGGCTGGAAACAGCATGCATCTTTTTGTCATGACAGCGCTAGAGCTCCACACTCTTGTGAACTACCAGTATGCCTACGTGCCGCCTTTGATTGCCAACCTAGCCCTCGCGGCAAAGAACTTGCGCCGAGCCCGAGAGCATCAGAAACATGGCCCACCAATGAAGAGGTTGCGTTTGAGGACGAAGTGTCATGCCCCTGCCTTTGCATAATGTTTGGAACAACGTGTTGCTTGAGAGGGGTTGCAGGGTAGCCCTCTCAGGTGAAATCACACTTCTCAGGTTCACAAACACACCGGTAGAACATGGACTGGAAGAGAAAAGTCAGGTGCATGCTTGTGCACTGCAGTCAAGTTTGGCATCCTTTGTTGCAAGTCCAAGCTTGTGTCAATCTTGTCAATCTTGTGTCCTTTGATTGTTTTTTTGCCTCTAGTACTATAGTACTCTAGCAGTGGCAGTTTTGATGATCGCTGATGACTCGTGACTGATGACTGATGCATGATGTGTTCCGCTGGCTGTGTGGGCTTTCTGTTTTGCAGTTTTGCGCAGTCGCCAACTGTGTGATTGTGTAGGCCTTGGATCCAAGTTTCATTGATAGCCTAGCTACTTGCAATTTCGTGCAGCCTGCCTGCTTCCGAGTGAGCCTACTCTGAGTTTCAGGGTCATGCCTCCTCGTCGACATGGAATTGATTCCAGTGAGCGGAATACGAATGAAAAGGGAGAGGAAAAGACCAAGGAGACTCCTGTGCTTTTACCTTTCCCTGGGATTTTGACGGGCTTGGACCCAAAGACAGACAAGAGCAAGGTGAAGGAGGACATCTACAACCGTGAGAAAAATCTGTCTGTCGAATATCTATGGGGGTCCTTGGATGGGGCGCCGCTTGTGGACGCAATTCTTTCTTGGTTCTCAGACACAGAGATTGAGCACCTGCCGTGGTACTTTACTTCGGAAGAGGATTCTTGCCAATACCGTACCATCCAACGACACCCCTTGTCCAGAAGGATCCAAGAAAAGACGGTTCTTAGGTACCGGCGTCGTATTCAAACCGAGGGCCTGAGTCAACGTGTTTCAGGCAGGGTGTGTTATGAATGCAGAAACACTCAAATTGCCATCGAGACGTCATTGGCTGCATGGGTGGTCCTTTAAGGGATGTGACATACGGTTTGATATATAGTAGTATATATCTGTATATGTACATATGATGCGTGAATATTTCATATGCACCGTACTGTCATCTGCGCGCCATAACCAGCACACAATTCTGTCCAATTGTTTCACACCACTGTGCAACAGGTGAAGCTGTGATGATGTGGAAAAGCGAGGACCGGAAGTATCCTTTGATGGCTCTGGCTTTCAATCATCGCGCTGAGGCCTTCTACAGGGCTGATGAGGTTGAGACAGAACAGGGCGAGTGCAATCCATACGTGAAGTCTGCCAAGGACAAAGGCTTGACGCGTGTCCCTGTGCTTCATCCTGGAACTGGGGACCGGATTGCATCAAAGCTCATCAAACTGATGAATGAATACCATGAAGGAAGTGGCATCTCCTTTATAGATTTCTTCGACGAAGCTTTGAGCCTTGAATCATTGTGGAAAACACACTGCACTGAAAGCAGACTGACCAGTCACAATCCGAACTACGCTTCCCTTCAACAACAGTTCATACTGGGGGCTGCAAAGTCAGCAGACTTCAGCAGTCTGTTCAGCTGTTGGGAGCACTACAAGGATACGGTCGCCCTGGTGCATTCCATGAGCCGCCTAGGCATCAAAGAATCGTTCGAGGAATGGTGTAACAACAATGTGGAGTTCCTTGAGGGCTCAATCTCACCTCAAAAAGTCATCACCCAGATGCATTCCATTGCCCTCTTGGTTCAGGGCAACATGAGGCGCTACTACAGCAAGTCCCTTCAGGCCATTGTTGTGCTAGAGGCATTGAAATTTACAGCCAGGGGACTCAGGGGGCTCAGTTGCAGCAATGCACCATTTCCAATTGAAACTTTAGACTTTAGACGACATGTTTTTTGTACAGGGGATGAAGAGCGAATGTTTATGTTTACATTTGCGATTCGTATTACAACACACTGACACACTGTGCATGAATAGATCCGCACACAACAATATATAATGGTACCACTCACAATACTTCTTCTGCGGCTGGTTGAGGTTCCGGTCATGCAAGAGATGGCCAAGAGTGAACAAGTTCAGGGAGAGAAGGACACTTCTTCTGAGTTTTCGAAGTTGTCGCAGTTGACGTTACAGATGTCAAGTTGTCAATCCAGTTGAATATGTTTTCTTTGTGTTTGATGAGACTGAGAACGGGAGTTTGCCAAAGGAAACACACCTTTTCAATAAATATGGAGATTAACATCCAAACATATCTTGAGGCTCTCACGCTGTTTTTGCAGTACTCTGCTGTGGGTGTAAAGATTGAGCCCAAGTGGATTTTCAAGGAGGGCAGTGCTGAGAATACACGACTCATGAACCTCATCAACCTCCCCATGCTAAAGTCCCAGGCGATCAAGAAGTTGACCTCATCATCATCCGCCAGCAATCAGGTTCAGCGAAGCGCTGACAAGGACAGTTTGAAGAAGAGGATAAAGTCAGAGTTTGCCAAAGCCCTGGAATCCGGATCGTCTTCTTCAAGTGTGAATGAGCCAAACACTGGTGGTGGTGATGAGAACGAGCAAGAAGTAGATCCAAAGCGCCAGCGAACCGGCAAGAACTTGCTCAAGAGCATTGCCTTCAAGGGCTATGATGAGCGTGAAAAGGCTAGCTATGATGTCAACATCATGTCCTTCCAAAACGATACGAGCAGGCCCGTTACAGCTTTGGATGAAATTCTGAGTGCTCTTCTCTTCGCGTGCAAACTTTTTGAGAAGGAGACGGGCAACCAAACATCTTCTGAGGCCAACAATCAATCAGCTTCCTTGTCGGCCAAGAAGAAGAAGTCATCTGGAGATTTTGCTTTGGGAGCAGGCAAGCACACAATTAAAATGTTTCTTGCTGTGTGTTTGTTGCCATTCAGTGCTGGTAGCGTATGTTTGTTCACTTGGACCCCCGCCAATATGTTTTGGGATTTAAGCTGACATCTCATCTTCAACAACTTCTACGTTCACAGGTGATGGCAGCAGTGACAAAGATCCCGAGAAGGAGATGGAGGAACTTGTTCAGAAGTACCACCCCGCTTTGAGCTTTTGTTTGATGATGTGGCTGAACTTTGCTTTCACGGGGGAGACGGTTGTGAATTGCAAGCTCTTCAGGGCGTATTCCTTGCTGCGGACAGAGCTACAGAACGTCATGATTAAGGCACACCAGCAACTGACCTATGATCTCCCCATGTCATCATCTATGTCTTCCATCGACGGAGCCAGACAATCTGCCAAGGACACCCAGTTCTCTACGGTTACCTTTTCTTTTTGTGATTTCCAGTTGTCAAGTCAATCCTTTCTATACAGTAACTACTCAGTTTCTTGTTTTGAGACAAGTGAGGATAAGAAGGGCAAAAAAGGCGCCAAAGATCAAGCTGATGGCTCAATCTCTGCCCTGCGCTTGGCTGAGATTCTTTGCAAGACATTCTCTGGTGCTGCTGCAGAGTGCGTGGCGGCTGAAGATGATGATGATGAAGATGCCGCCTTGAACCGCATTATGACCGTGGTTCGCTCGAAGCAGCAGGAGATCATGCAGCCACTGAAACAGTTCATGCAAGAGTGCATCAACTTGCCACTCACCCTACATGCTGCACCGCGAGATGCCATGGCTGATTTGGCTAGCTTGGGCAAATTGAGGACTGGTCATGGCAAGGCTGCCTCATCAACGAACATTAGGGATCTGACCCATGTCATGTCCTTGATCAAAGGGACCATTGAAGGTGCCCTCCCTTTCACTTGGCTCGCCTTTGGTATGGACGTGGTGGAGATCTTCAATAGCAGGGGCTATTTTCCACAAGGAACTGAGGAGGCGGGGTACTTGTTCTGCTCGAAGACAATTAAATAGTAGTTAGTCGCTCTGAGATTACACAGATTGCAAAGCTGGAAATACACTTGAATACACCAAGGCCCATGAAGTGTGTGTCAAAGGAATATACTTTTTGATCTGGGTGTCTGATTTGTCCTGACAGGTGTTTCCTACCACCTCACAATTGCAGGCTTTGATTTCTTTGCGGAGCAGGTATGTCCTTTCCATCTTGATTGAGGCCAAGGACTCCTTTGAGATGTGGAAAATTTCCTTGCCCGAGGGTCTGATTCAGCTTTTGAGCAGCCTTGCGCCTGTCATGAAGTTGTTCCCATCTGGGGCTGGTAGTTCTTCTGGTTCTACATCAAACATGGAGGAAACAGCATCAAAGCAGGCTGGGGCACTGGTCAGCCTGATCACAGCTTACGACAATCTTCAGCCACCATCAACCTGGGTGGAAGCATGGGTGAGCTTGCTGGCAGCTGGGAAAGATTTCAAGGAATTGGGACCCTTCCTTGAGAAGAATACGGGAATCTCACAGTCTACCATTGCTGCGTCCGTGAAGCAGCAGAGGGTTCAAACTGAGACACCTGCTCCTGCTGATGATGATCAGGCTGGGAGGGTGGAAACAAGCAGCACGGGCAAGGTTGACGGCAACGACGAAGAGATGACTCCCAAGCTGAAGATGGAAGTTGCTGCTAAAGCTGAAGATGTTAGTGCTGAACCTTCGGCTTCCACTATTCAACACATGCTTTGCCTCAACGCTGTCAATACCTTCATTGACATGTCTCATGAAGGGTCAGAATACCTGCATCATTCCGAGCACGCAAAAACATTGGGTCTCCATGCAGCAGACATGTTCAGCGCACAGGGATTGAAGGTCCTTGAACACAAGCTGACTTGTGTGGTTTGGAAGAGCTTTGATGCATTCTCCACGGGGAAGGACAGCGTGTTCTTGAACCTCCAGTCACAGGATAGCAAAAGCAGAGTCCAAATCAAGAGGCCAGTTTCGAAGGACTTGTGCTTGCCATTTGCAGGCCCCGTCACCCAAAACCCACAAGTGGTGAAGGACGGCAAAGGCTTCCATGTGACTACTCTCTTCGGACTTCCCTTCTACATCTCAGCATTGTCTGGTGATGTGTTGTCGCAGGATGTTTTGGTACCTGCATGGACGGTTCGCTCTGTGACAAAGGCAGATGCGGCATACTTCCTCCCGGGTTCCACGAAAGCTCAGGTCTTGCTTCAGGTCCCTGACCATGTTGAGAAACCTACGTTGCTTGATGTGGAGTTGATGTTCGTGCACCCAAGCCAGATGGAGGAGGCAAAACAAACTGCGAAGGAATATTGCTACAAATTTGGGCGCTATTGCTACTTGATTTGCCCAACATGTTTTGGTCAGGTGCTGAATTTATCGACCAAGGTGTTCAAGGAATGTGTTTGATTGTTTCTACTTTTGGGGATTGATTGGTCAGCATGAATTTAAATATATACATATAGATTATTCATATCTTCATCGGTCTTAAACCATGACTCATCTGCAGGCTTCGTTGAGTTTGAAGTACACCACTTGGTTCCGAGTGGAGAGATCGAGGCGAACCTTGCAATCCAGAACGCTCGGCATCGGGATAAAGCAGAGAAGGTGGCCAAAAACCTGATCAAGGCCGGCATCAAAGCTCAGGAGAAGGCCAAGAAGAAAGCGAAACCTCCAGCTTCAAGGAAGCGCAAGGCTCAGTGTTCGGATGAATCTGACAAGGAGGAGTACCACGGTGAGTTTGATCCCACAGAGATCATTCGGGAGGCAGAGATGAGGCAGAAGAAGATCGACGACGTTCTGGTTGAGCACATGGCCAAGATCAAGATTCCTGATTACATTGGCATCACCAAGCTTGCAAGTGCACAAGAGAAACAGAGCCGATCCTCTCGAGGTCTCCTCATTCAAGCCGCGTTGAAAGAGGCAGAGAGACTTGAAGGCAAAATCTCAGAAGGTGACTCCAGAATTGCAGAACACTGCATCACCACCGCAAGTTGGCGTTCAAGCATGCTTCGAAGACCACAGCAAGAAATGTGAAGAGAAGGGTCTTGAAGCGAAAATCAAATCCAAGGCGAAGAAGGGAAGCGCTTCTTCAAAACAAGATGACAAGGAGACGGCAACCCAGGAGGTCATGAAGGTTGGCAAGCACCTTTTGCGGTGAGTCCTCCGATTTTCGCTTTCGTTCTTTAGTTTGCAGTGCAGCTCATTTGGCTCTTGTACAGAGCAAGGCTTGCAAATCCTGGCATAGGGTTTGGCATGTGGATTGTTCAGCAGGCCACGCAACTTTGGAGCCTGAGCTGAGTTGTTGTTGTTCCAGACCTTAGATTCGACCGTCGTCCTGCAGCAGAAAAATGAAATGCAATTTTTGTGCACGTCCAATTTTGTGCTTTTGTCAGAAGTCGTGGATTGTTTATTTTATGCTTTTCTACCGCAATCAATACTGGCAAATCAACCTTTTCAATGGAAAATGCATGAGTGTTTCTTGGCTGTGCGTACTCATTAAAATATGAAAACACCGCAAACAAGTTTGAAAACATTGGCGCACCAAAACAGGAAAGAGAGCGGACATAGTGTGTCATGCAAGGTGGTATTGATGATGTGCTGCATGATATAGGGTCAATCTAGGGAGACGAAACAAAGGAAGAATGGGATATCCAACTCGCATCTGCTTGGGGAACATATTCACTGTGTAGTGTATCACAGAGTGATCAAAGTAAATCATATATAACTCCCTTGTCACCCTTGAAAGCCGACCCACAGGAGTGGATCACATATCACGCTGAACAAAGTTTTTATCTGACGAAATGCTTTGCTGAATTGTTTAAGTCGTTGATTCTTGCAATTTTTGCTTGATAATCATCACGAGGCTGAACTTCTGATGCTTTCACACCGCCCCAAGTTTTCTTTGTTCTATTTATCTCTCCCCCCCAGTATTCTCTGTTTTGTTTGTCTCTGCCCCCCACGTGTTCTTTGTTTTGTTTGTCTCTGCCCCCCACATGTTCTTTGTTTTGTTTGTCTCTGCTCCCCGCGTGTTCTTTGTTTTGGTTGTCTCTGCTCCCCACGCGTTCTTTGTTTTGGTTGTCTGGGCCTTCAAAATATGTAAATTTCTGAGCCAGGAAGACTCCTGGTACATGGTTCTGGGATTCTGGGTGTGGTGTTGGCTTCCCCCCCTTCACACCCAGAATATTTCCAGCTTCGACCCACAGCTGAAACCGCACGTCACGATCAAACAGTTCCAAGCCCTGCAGGAGCGAGATACCATGTACAAGCTACGACACCCCAATCTAGTACCCATTTTTGACTCTGGCATGTTTCAAACCCTCCCTGGTCCAGGTTCAGGCAAGGGGTTGAATCAGTTTGACAACCTACTTGCAGTTAAATACTTGCACAGAACAACATTCAGCTTCATTGAAAGACTAGTCAAACTTTGCCTCACAGGTAAACAGCAATTACGCTACATAGAGATGGAGCTACTGGAAGGGGACTTGCGTGGGGTGATTGACGCTCGTGGAGTGGGACCAGCATTTGCAGCAAAAATTCTTGGGAACGTGGTTTCTGGCTTACGGTACCTGCGTGACAGCCACGACATGGTCCACCTTGACATAAAGCCGGCCAACGTTTTCCTCACCTCTGGTGTTGCCAAACTAGGTGACTTTGGCTTGTGCTGCTCCAAGGCCCAAGCTGCAGCTTCAGGCCCATGTGGAACTCCGGAGTACTTGCCGGGTGATGTTTGGCATGAAGAAGTCCGCAGTTCAGAACGAAATGATCTTTGGGGAGCTGGTTGCACGCTGAACCTTGGATGAGAATTTTCTATCAAAGGTCTTGC